TTGTATTCTCATATTAATTAACATATATTATAGTCATTTTTATGTCACGAAGTTGTAGCCAATTGTAACGTCCTTTCATATAATAATAATTGACAAATATCAGGAAAAAAGTCTGACACTATACGATTTAAAATAAAATCAAATAAATAAAAAGATAAAACACAGGCATGTAATTTACGTTAGAATAAATAGAATGGTTTTGAATAATAAATGAGAGTAAAATCGACGTCACTTTACAGCCCTGCCCACTTTTGGGGAAACCAACGCTGTCATTTGAACGGCGATCAAGCCTGAATCCACAGAGATCTTCTTTTACTGTCCTTTCTTCTTATAGGAAGTACAGAAACACGTAACTCTGGATTTGTTTTAATGTTTGAGGTGCAATAAACGACACAGCAGCTTTTTGGCATGTTTAAACTATTATTTTCCGCCTCGCTCATGAGAGTAACAGCTGGCGAAATTACAGCCTCGCCTACTGATTTTAATTTAACCATATATCGAGCCCGATTGTCAATTTCAAAGGTGTGCTCTAAAATGATATTTATAAATGACTATTATCATTATTATAAGCAAGACAATAAATGGCAAAGATATGTAGAAAATAAACTTATTTAAGATACGTTCATAACAAACGTATGAACGTGGGAGAAAATATGTTTCTAGAAGATATGTAGAAAATAAACTAAACGCTAGTCGAAAATGCGGTTTAGTTCTGTGGGAACGTAATTTTTAGGAGACAGGGTTGCCTTAACAGAGATAGCAGCAATACCCAAGGCCGTAGACCTATGCCATGGGAAAAGAGACAGTGAAAGGAGAAAACAATCAGCTGTGTCCATTTGCTTTGGAAACCACTCACTTTTTGAAAATACAACCACTGTGGAGTCATACATGGAGACACCAGAAATGACATGGCTACAAGAGCAAAGATATACACACCACAGTTATAGAATACACTTTTCCTTTTTCATGTGTGAATATCTGTAAATAAACCTTTTGGGCCAGCAAAAGGAATACAAACTCATGAGCTCCTCTTTGGCTAGGTCACTGGCAGAGAGTATGAAGGAGTATTGACCTGTCTGAAAGGACAGACAGACAGCAAACATCCAAGTAAATAGAGGCAACAGGGAGCAAGAAGGCACATAGGAAATTAGCTGGAGAGATCAAGTTATTTATTTTGTGTGGATGAGATTTATTTGATTTTAATGGTCAACGTGTCCTCCCAAGGTTATCATTCAATGGCCTGATGTGGCTGGCCACTGACTAGCACAGACTATATCATTATTAATGTGTACAAGTTGGTGTGTGTGTCTTTTTGTTACATGAACAAGTGTAATATAGTCATTTCATTGTAATGTATTCATAATAACAATGAGCACACAAAAGAATAGCTCCTAAAAATGACAAAATACAATAAGAATCAATATCTTTTTAAATATCTATTTTTTAAATTTGTAATACATATTGTATTTATTACGTAGTATTTGATCATGTCTTGGAAGTAGGAAGGAATGGTTCCTTTCATCGTCCTGTGGAGTCTGGATGCAAGCTAACAGAGTGGTGTAAGGAGGTGAGGACTGCGAGAACTTGAGGTGAGACTCCAGGCTGCCTGTGTGCTGACTGTCACACAGAAGTCTTTTTAGCCACAAACCTGAACATTCAGTTTGTTTAACAGCACAACATTTATAAAAACTAAAAACCTTCCCACGGTGCTCTCATTGTCATCTGTGACATCTTTCCCAATTCATTGTCAATGAAGACGTTCCAGACTTTATACTTGATGACATCACACATTTGGGTGTCAGCGCTGTACTTTTGGATTTGAAAGAGAGTTGGTCATGTTTTGGTATACTGATGGAATGTCTTGGACAAAAGACATCAAGTATTGAAATATTTGATTTATGTATAAATACAATAGGGAAAAGTGCAATATTTGATTATGTATGAATGAAATAGGGAAAGTGCAATATTTGATTTATGTATGTGCAATAGGGATATGTGCAATAGGGAAAGTTCTGTACCTGTATGTTTCTTGTTTGTTTCACAAACAAGAAACATACAGGTACAGAACTTTCCCTATTGCACATATCCCTATTGCACATACATAAATCAAATATTGCACTTTCCCTATTTCATTCATNCTTGAGAAGGGTGGAAAATCAGGGGGGCGGGAAAAAACCCAAATGGAATTATGGAGAGCTATCACTTCCTAACTGGTGAGGATTTAGAAGCCACTGCCAAGGCCAACGGTTTGAAGTAATTTCATTTTTTCATGCATGGCTTCTGTCCCAACGGAGACCTGAAGCGAAGAAAGAGAGAGGGAGTGATGAGAGAGAACAGCGAAGGGGAGAGATGAGAGGAAAGGGGAGGAGTGGAGATGAGAGAGAAGGAGTTGGAAAGGAGAAGGGAGGGCAGAGGAAAGGAAAAACAAGAAGAGGGGAGGAGAGAAAGGGCGATGAATAAGAGGGGGAGACAGTTTGGCAGTGGGATGTGTAATAATTGCTTGTATTTTCTAATGCGACAGGAGAGGTAGATGGAGTCAGTGTGCTGCAGTCTCTGCTGTAGAGGAGGGTAATGGCGCTACACTGAGAGTTCAACTGAGCCACTAACTGATATTTGTTAGTTTGTCGGTGTTTAACGGGTAGAGTTTCTTTGAAGTAATTGCAGTCGATGCCTGCAGCTCGTTAATTATCATTGCTGTCAACAGTAATTCGCTGAGATATGTGCAGAGCATTCTGACGTTCTCCTCCTTCTATTCCCCAAAGAAAACACACATACAGACATGCACAAATAGCATTTGTAGGATGTTGTGACAGCTCCTCTTGCATTCATACAGGGGAAGGTGTCTATAACTGATCACATTTGTTTGATTAGGCAGACACACCTCCTCAACCAGATCTTTCTAATGGAGATGTTATGATAATGTTGAGGCTGATGAGGAGGGAAATAGTCATAATAGCAGTGTAGTGATGGTGACAGCTTTCTTCTTCCACCAGCAGGAAAAGTCAGGATGACACCTGTCTAATATGATGTGTCTGTTCCGTGTCCTTGTTAGTTGCTTCAGCTATTTTCTCAGCAAGGCAGAATTCCAAGTGTGTCAAAAGTAGGGCTAAATTGGTTGCTCGAGTGCTGAAAGACGGAGAGGACTTTGGGCAGTCTTTACTCTTATGGTGCACTCTGCAGTAAAATAAAGATTGATTAGAGAAAAAGGCTGGCCATCCCTCTGTGTGTGTGTGTGTGTGTGTGTGTGTGTGTGTGTGTGTGTGTGTGTGTGTGTGTGTGTGTGTGTGTGTGTGTGTGTGTGTGTGTGTGTGTGTGTGTCCTTATCCTGAAATCCTAATGACAGGATAGAATGGCGACGAGNGAGAAGAGTTTCGGCTGCACGTTTTGACAGTCATTCCAGCCAATTAGCTCTCCCTCCCACAATGTTCACATAAACGCTTCTAAAGCTGTCGAGGTGCTGCGCCAGAAACCTTAACCTCAACTGTGTATACCAAACTTAACATATGCACATCACATACATATTTACATTGGTATGCATTAAAGACCTGATAAAGGATAATAGCTAGCTGTTGCTGGGTGTCAGTCTTCTCTTGTTGTCACAGAATAATGCGAAAGGCAATGGCATTTCCATAGTGAGCAGCTCTTGCTAACATTCTGCCATTTTAGCTTCAGAAACAAAGGGTACATGTTGAAAAAGTGAAGAGCTTCTCATAACTCTATTCACAATTTTTTTCTATAACGACAAAGGGGAAACTCTGTCTTGCAACACTGCTATCTGACACCTCACAAAATACCACATAGTCATACAAAACAATTCTCCATTGGATAATAAATAACAAAGGAATTCATTTTCAAGAGCGCCAATAATTCGATACAAATGTTTTTTGCCGTTTTTCGTTTTCTTTTCCATCTATTTTTTTGTTCTGTTTGATTGTGTGTGTATGTGGGTCTACAGAGAGATAGT